TTTTACCTGATAAAAACACAACACGATTGCGCACTTTTTACCTTTTTTTTATCTTATAATTATTATCAGTAATTTTACCATATAATTTTTAAACTAAGGTCCGAGAATTGAAAGCGTAGCTATTTAAGTTTAATAATATAGCAAATAAAAATTGAAATTTAGGACTATTGCGTGGCTTATAATTTATAAATAAAATAATATACAAATAATTAGTAGTTGAATACATAATGTGGCTTATACAACATATAAATATACATTTTATCTTATATTTATCAGTTAAGAATTTAGTATAATATAATTATTGTTTGAATAAAAAAATTAAAAAAAATTAACAAAAATCAAAAAATATTTACAACTTTCTAGCACAAAAACGTGGTCCTAACGTTAACAAATAATTATTTAACGACATTTCATTATTTTTATATTTTTTCCAAGTATCAATTAAAAATACAATATTTTCTTCTTGCTCTTTACGAGGCTTGTTAATATTTTTTTGTTTTATACTAAATATTTTTAAATAAGATTCACTTTGAATATCCAATAAAATATGTAAAACTTGATGAATAGACGGATGAGATGTATAAAACTGTGCATTATAGTGGTTATGGAAAGACTCTGGCCCATTGGTCGTTCTTGCCTCTGTTGAAGGTTCAGTTGCCCATAAAATCGGTGGAAAAACAGCATCAGATGTTATATAATTGTTCAGTATATAATCAGTAAATTCAAAATTATCAGTAGGGCTATTTTCAATTAAATAAGTAAAAGCATTTTCTACATCTTCCGTGGGTAAAAATCCGAGTGCAAAAAATTGTTTCAACCAAACGCCTAGTTCAGATTTTGAATTATAATTTTTTAATAAATTACTGTCGCTTTGAATTTTCCTGAACCAAGATTGGCCTAAATGAAATCTGCAGGCCATAATTTTGCAGTTCGGGAAAAAATGTCTAACAGCGTTATGAGCACTTTTTTCAAAATCAAAATGAAAATTTGAATGCTTTAATGTATTTTTTATATCTATGTCAATACATTTTAAACATAAATTAATAATTGTGTGCCACATTTGTATATAAGTTTCAGTTGATTTTGAAATTAAAAAACAGTAAATTACAGGAACATAAAACCCATTTTGTAATATATGTATTGAATACAGTTGTTCAAAATATTTGGGCGCATATGAAAACGTCCCGTCTGCAAAAATATGAGAAGATTGACTCAATAATTCAAGATTGGTTTTACAAGTGAATATAACTGGACTTGAAGTTTTTTCCATGTGACAAAATAGTTCACCAGTATTAGTTGTAATATTTTCACGACCATCAAACAACTGACTTATCGCTTCCTCTAAAGATTTTGGAATTTTTTGCATATGCTTTCTACGTTTATCGTACATACACTTTCTCCATAACTTTATATCAGAATAAACGGGCTGGATATATTTTTCGGTATTTCTAAGTTCTTGCCTAATTATTTTATTTGGCCTTGTGAGAAGATCATTTTCACATTTTCTTTTTAAACGAGAACTTACAATTTGCCTACCAACAATATTTTTTGGAATCACGCCATGTGTGTGCTCATTTAACATACTTAATATTTTAGTCACATCCTTGTCAACAAGTAAACTAGCAGAACAATTTTTATTTGTACAGCGATACCGAAGGTTCCCACACTTTTTCAGAACTTTAAATTCACTATATTTATAATCATCAACTAAAATGCATGGCTTACCTTTTTCTGTTTCGAATTTTTTTTTAATTTGTTTTTCCATTTTTTCAAAATGAAATTGTACGAAAATAAAATGGAAATATGTACTTTGCGCGATATAAGATTGCCACAATGACGTACGTATGTGACTGACGACTGCCACACTATACATATCGTTATTAACGTACAGGATTGTCGGGATTAGATAACTATCAATAAAATCCGGTGAAATAAATATTATCGGATGTGAATACGTTGGAAAAACAATATGTTTAAAACCACAGTCACTAACACTTATCAGTTATTATAGTAATAAAATATTATTTACAATTGTGTATAGGTACGTATACTATACTATAAGTGGGTTTCTTAAACTTATTATTTATTTATGTCCATCATTTACGCTAAAAATATTAAATTAAATTAATTTTGTGCACAATCGTGTGGTGTTTTTTCAAATATAAAAAGGTAAAAAGTGCGCAATCGTGTTTTATTTTTTTCAGGTAAAAAGGTAAAAAGTGCGCAATCGTGTTGTGTTTTTATCAGGTAAAAAGGTAAAAAGTGCGCAATCGTGTTACGCCCATTTCAACACGTGCTGAACTACGACTTATTGTTATAATTTCGAGCGAACCGAGCAAATCAAAACATAAATAAATGTGAACGCTACCGTGCGAAGAAAACACGAGTTTTTACGGGGTTCTGCGTAGGCGATTTCAATGTTGTTTTAACGAGGGACATCAATTCGGAAAATATCCTTGTTGTACATGGCGTAGGGTGTATTTTTTTTTTTTTTAAGTATAAAATATAATCGTGCTTAGAAAGCGAAAGTCGCTTGTAAACGTTTTTTTACGAAAAATTAACTCAAGTTTTAAAAATTATATAATCAGTATAACTATCGAGCATAATATTTATTAAATAAATGTGTGTATTAAAATATTTAGAAAAATAATTCTTTTAAACCACCATAAATATGATGTACACATATACTAACTGGTCAATATGTTCCTAAAGATAGTTTTGATTTTTTCCAGTAATGTCTGACTCACTTAAAAAAAAATATGTGACTGTATACACAGTATAATTTGGTGCGATAAAATGATATTATAGCACAGATATGTGACCAGCGTGGATATTTGTCATAATAGAGAGGAGATGTCGGTATAATTTAGATTTTCCTTCGTTAATAATACGAACTAAATTTATGCATTACAATATAATGTTATGAACATCGAATATAAAAAAAATAAAAAAAATAAAAAAAAATAATATTAATTAAATAAACAAATGAACTAACGAGGAAAAAAGTGCGTTTTTACTCGGAAAATTAATCGAATCATTATTAGTAGATTTATTAATTAATCACGGGCCCATGACGTTCATAAAGGGAATCAAGTAGAGGAATTGAATATTCATTCGCGGATAGAAGGGAGTAAATTGAGTGGTTGAAGGGTGTTATTTATTTTTCGATCGTTTTTGAAGTGATAATTTAATCATTAGCTGATGAATTGATTTTTTTGTTTAAACTATTTTTTTTTTAACGCTATTAAATATCATTAGTGCAAAATGTGCTCTCGTTATGAACAGCGGCAAAAAAAGTATAAAAGGACTAAAAAAAAAAAAAATGTTCAAAATCAATATCATAATAATAATATTTGAATAATATCTAATTAAAACAATTCATCGCGCGTATTTGTCATTTTGTACCGCAATAGTCAAATTTACTGCAGCGGTTCAAAGTCAGTAACAGTTTAATATTTTATCCATAACGAATTCGTCTTGCATTTGACAAACGAAGCGTAAAATAATTAATTAACGATCATAGTAATTGTAATGATTTAATAATTATTATTGAAATATGTAATCCATGGGGGGGGGGGGGAATTAAACATCAACAACGTCGTACGGTTTATGTATTTCAACAATATGTTCTGTACAGTCGCCATAATCAATATGGTTTTCAATGACAGCTATAAAAACGCAATGTTACTAATTACCTTCTCAGATGTTTGTTGAACACAATGAGAGCCATGAGCACCGTGTTGGCGACTATGCCTAGTCCGACTAATGTCAGTGTGATGGTGGCCTCCGATTCTCCTTGCGGATGACACTGAAACGCTCTGCTGCCGTTGGCCGTGGTCCCGTTGGGTCCAGGACTCCTGAGATTAGGCGCGCCAATCATTACCACCATTGTTTCTGCTGCAACAGGCGAAAAACCGCATCATTAGAAAACACGTTTTCCGAGCACATTCCGAGGGCTGCTTTATGTACTCTCGGCTGCGCGTGCTTTAGAATATAAAGTAGAATACGCTTACAGCGATCTATAAGGGACGTAAAGAATCAAACCGTTACATCCGAAATTCGTTGTATCCGGACGACGAAAACATTATCTACGTGAGATATAAAACCAACCAAGTACATGGCTATGAATCGTTTTATCCGGAATATCCGTTAAATATGGAATCGTAATAAACGGATTCTGTATTGATATCTCGAGTCATGAAAACGTCTTATAAACATGAGCGTTCTCGCGGGGGATGGATCTTTCTTGTTCTGTGGCCTATTTTTTTTTTAACGAATTTGATTTTCGCGTTCAACGGATATTTAATAATAGTCTATTAAATAATTACAATCGATAAATATTTTTCAGCTCCTCATCGTTTTCCATAAGATTGGTATGAACATAACAGCCACGAATACAGATCTAGAGCATTATCACTGTTTTTGTTTTATTATTAGCCGATTCATGTATTGATATAAATCAAAAAATAATATTCTCATCGAACAGATGTACAAGTGTGACAACATGTTTTTCCGTTTTTTTTTTTTTTTTTTGTTTAAGAAAAATCGACAAAATCTTGTAAACTTATAACATTATAATTAAAAAAGTAATAGGTGTTTTGTAAAAGGAACGTGGCGTGGGGGCTTAGCGTGGATTCGCATAAGCCAGTGGGTTTCAATGTCTTACGAAAGGTGACTGCTTTTATTTTTATTTTTCTACGGAGAATTCTCCGGGAATCGTTAAAGAAATATAAGATTTTATACTTGAATGTCGCTATCCAAGTTAGTAGGGTGAACACTAACTAGGATAAATCAAAAGTTGTGTGGGAATAGAAGACCACAATATTATTCGTTTTCGATAGCTAGCGATCGTTATCGAATCAACCATCTAAATTGATTAATTGAAAATGTAAATCGAAAACGTGGTTATACGGCGATGATCCTACAACGACGTGTTTCGAGCAAACGATTTCCAAGTTCACGCCGACGTCGATCTATCTATCATATTCCGAATGGAACGCGTGTCCAACAAGATCGGACGGAAAAAACAGTTTTTATTTTTCGATCCCTGCTTACCAACAGGGGGGGGGGAGGTTTAGAAAATGATACGTTTGTTCTGGACCCCACATGAATCTGTATTGTCGCCGTCATACACGCGGTAAAAGCGTTTTCTCGAAAACGAACGAACAACCCTTTGTGTCGGGTGTCGCAGTTGCACGTCACGTCGGATAAATTATGCCGGCAACGAGATTACGCGGGGTCCCGATACCCACTTAATGCACGGGTCGTACGCAAATCGTTTCGGGACAAACGTAATGATTCAACGGGTACGATACGGTATTATTGTAATACAACGTTACGAGTACGCGAATCACAACCTCGAAGCGTGTGCGATTGTGGGCAACACGGACGCGGACGAAATGTGTGTGATTTGTAATACGTGTTCGAGCCCTCGCGGATTATTTGGCTCACGTCCCGAGTGAAATCCCGATTTGAGTTTGAGTTATCCTTTTCGTAAAAAAACGATTAACTTAACGCTCTTACACACGTGTCCGAAAAACATATACGTGTACGGTACGTACGTGCGTGCTAACTCGCTTGACCGATCCCTGCGAGATATGATGATCTTTGCGCGTCGTACTAGGCCGACTCTTCGCCAACACGCGCAACGCAAACGTGCTACCGGTTTCGCCCATTTCAATAATCGTTAAAATAGTATAAGATATCAAGAACGTGTTGGCGACGGCAGACAGATGTTTGGTTCGCGGGGAAAATTGTACAACCGCAGACAAAAGAAAATCAACTATTTGGATGCATTTGATCGGCAAGGAGACGAAAAAAAGGATTCCGATTGGTGAATGATATGGGAATAGGAAAAGGTCAGTGCAATGTTCAAACGACGGATGTACGGGCAACATATGGGAACGTGTGTAAATTTAGCACTAGCTCCTCCCTCCTCTCTAGCAACTTTTTAGCGACTTATTGCTATTCGATTATAAAAACGTACATCTCGTATAACTGTAGTTATAAGCTGTACAAGGTTAGTCGTTTCGTCGTCCGTAGCCGTTGTACACCGATGTTTAAAACGATTAGTTGTAAACAGAGAAAAATTATGAATCGAATTTTCAGCGGAGTAATTTGACAGTAAAAGAAGTCATCGCAGTTAGCTTATACGTATACGGAGACCACACGAGTTCGAATCAAGTCGAATCTTTCGACACAAACCGTACTAATTTCGATGTACGCATTGTTACGTGTTGTAAAATGCACACGCGAGTTATCCACTCTCCTTGATTATTACATCGATACGCTTTTACCCAAATCGATATCGTTTTTTTCTTCGTTTATTCCCTACACGTCCTTTATTCCATTTTTTTCATTTAACAACACTCTCTATCATAATCCAAGCATTTACCCAATCAATTGTTATCTCTACGCACCGATCGTATTCTTTTTGCTCGTTCTTTTCAAACCATCGAAATTACAACAATTGCATTATAGAACACCGTAGTCCAATGTAATATATCATCCGTTTTCATGTTCATATTAAATAAAAATAATCTTTTGGAAATCCGCATTTTAACGCTGAAGCAAAAATGAAAAAAAAAAACAGCAGCTCTTGGTTCGCTGTTTAACAGCTATTCATTGTTTTAAAACGTTCGAAATAATTAGCTTCATAACAGACTCAACAAATTACGTATCTTTTTGTGTGATTCGTGTTCTTCAGTTTGTCGACTTCAACATGTCAGTTATATTATTTCTTTATGATTTAAACTGCGGATACAGTAACGCTCGGAATCGGTTAACTATTCAAGTGGAACATACTCCGGTAATCGATAATACTTCTATCAATTTTCGAATGTGATGTTCCGGATGAACTAATAGGTTTGTGGTGAGTTTTTTATCGGTTTTCGAATTTTCTCTGGTTCCATACACGTACGAATATGATGATGCAGACAATGATAATAGTATTATCGGCATACAGAAATGACTTTGAAAATGGATTCTATGGAGAACGAAAGTGGTGAGCGGGGCCGCATTTATATATTGGTCTAGCATTGAAAATTAATACTATCATAATTTTATCGAATGGTCGACATTTGTTTTCACTTTTATTGACGTACTGTTTTTCCGGGCCCGAACGTCTACTCCGAATGAATTTGTGTACACTACCACGCAGCCCGATTTTGTCGACATTCAATTTTAAACGAAATATTATGCATTTGCCGATCCCGAATCTACTTCCGTCGCTTAATGTACCGTTACATTATTATCACCTGATTATTTGTTTATGGAGTTCGTAGCAATTGTGTTGTAGTATTATACGTCCATAATAATTAAAACGGACAAGTTATTATTATCTACTGTAGCGTTATGATCTTATAATATTTATGATCAACCGCATGGCTATGATTGAAAAAAAATTCAAATCATTGTAAACATTATAAAAGTGTATAATATATAATTATTTTAAATTCTATGCAAAATTATATATAAATGGTTTGAATCTAAAATTTGAATATTTTATGGGAATATTTGATACATGTATATTTTTTTTCAGTTCAATACCTGCAGCCGGTACATTTCGCTCTATTTATCTGTTATGATTTTCAAACGATAATGTACAAAAAATGTTCCTGCACGTGTATGATTCACGCACCGTAAATTGTATTATTATGATTTTCAAACGATAATGTACAAAAAATATTCCTGCACGTGTATGATTCACGCACCGTAAATTGTATTATAGTCGTAGCATTTGCCACCTTAAGTAGTATGCGAATATAAACAGTGTAAATCAAGGCTTATAACACGACGGTATGTGAACAAACATATTTCGTTATACTAATAATATTTAACTGATTGAGTTCGACGGAAATTTATGAAATACGCAATTTTGTTGAAATAAAACTATTCTCATCACGTTTCTCTGCAAATACCTACGTAAAAAATATCATCAACATAGGTGCACTCTACAGATACGAGTATATTGGAAAATATTTAAATCGATAACCTAAGAAAATTACATCGCGTCACACGTCAGGACGATGTCATATTGAAAGCAACGAATGTACGTATACAGTTTATAACCGGACTTTTTTTGACATTTTATTTCGTAGCATTCGTTTTCTGTAAGTACCTAACCTAACCTTAAGCCAAACTATTGTTACTAATAGTTCTTTTGTTTTATTTTTTTTTTAACGAAATATTTTCAAATAATCACAGTAAATTGTATGAAATAGTAATTCAATAGTTGTTGCGACGAAATCGCTGATCTTGGGCTTGTTGCCGCTTAAATTGTTTTCAGGGCTTAAATCCTACAAGAGACTCGAGACTCGATTTCCAATGGTCGCCAAATCTCAACCCTAAATGCTAAATACCTAATACTCTGTGGCCATGTAAATGTTTTATAAAATATTTTCACAATGTATATTTTTACAAAATATTTATATGAGATTTCCCCTTTCCCATTTCGCGTCTCATACGAAAGTAACGGCTTAAAATTATTTTTTCCGCAGTTGGTCGTTCGATAAAGTGAACGTTATAACATAAGAACATAATTTATTTCACGGAGTCGGTGGATGCTGGAGGGAAGGGAGGGAAATGTATGTTTTATTTTTTAACGCGTAAAAATACTGCAGTCGCACCGGGGCCTCTGCGCAAAGGTAAAGGTCGCGTAAAAGCTTTTAACAATACCACGTGGCTGCAGTAATACGATTCGTCGTCCGGTTAACCGTTTGCTGATGTACGGGATTTTAATTCGATACACTTAACCGGTAAGTGCTCGCGCAGCAGTTACTGTTGTAGTACAGCTGAGCCTATCCGAACGAAGTGTAAAGTAAATGCTAGCAATAAAAAATTACTCTGCACGTGTGCGTATCCACGAAAAAATCCTACGTTTTCGATGCGTTCCTAAT